AATGCTTTTAAATTTTTAAATATGAAACATGGATATTCGTTATTACATTCGAAATATCATTAGAATAAGTTGAAAAACCGGTGAATCTTCGGATTATGGTAACTTGGCGATTTTTTGGCGATAATTTGGCGACCAACCCTGCTACAGCAACCTGCTAGTTTTTTTTTTTGGACGCCATTTTGTTTTCACGGAGAAAAGGCATTTTTTTTTTAACTCAACATTTTTTCCAACAATCTGCTAGCCGAATTACGCTTATGCTAGAACTTTTATGGAACAAAAGTGCTTAATCATGACGAAGATTAGGTGCGAAATTGGGAGAAAGTGCAGAATCGCCCACTGCTTTGCGCGTTTTTAAGAATTGCACATACGTGGTATCCATGTACACGTCGACCTATTTTCACTTAAAAAAAAAAAATCCCAGAATTGCACAAAAATGGCATTGCGTCACACTCTTGACTTTATCCATGTACACATCGACCTATTTTCACTTAAAAAAGTCAAAGAAAATTGACAAAAATCCAACTCTTCTTACTTTTGTAAAAAGCGCCAAACAAATTAGCGGGCAATTCTGCACTTTAGCAGCGAAATTGTTTCTAAGTGCTTATTAGCTAAAATCCCGATTGGAATTTTCCGGAAAATGTCACATTACATGTCTCATGATCTCTCATTTCTCTGAGACAAAATAATCTGTGATTCTAACTGTGTACTTCTCAGATTATTGCTAAAGTCCTAGCTAGTAACCTTTATCGCCTTACCAAAATGTCGCCAAACTACATGTTACCATATTCCAAAGATTAGACGAAAAACCTTTGTAGTGACAAGTAGTGAAATAGGAATAAATTTTTGTTGTTAAATTCAAAGCTATTATGAATAACCTCCTTCTAAATAGTTCTTTAATGATATAAAATATTCCGGAAACCTAGAAAATAATTAATGACAATTTCATACTTATATATTTCACATTTTATTCTTAATATACTTTTCAGGGAAGAAAAATGAAAACTTAAAACATGAAACTCTTTTTGTACATATCTAAGAAAATTTGAAATCTATGAATGTAAAATATAATTTTACTATCCAGAAAAGATATATTTCATGCAGTTTAACATTTTGAAATGAAATGCACCTCCGGATTAAACAGATGTGATCTTTTAGCATGCAGCTTCAGATCGGCTCGTACCTATTAAATTAATAAATAAACAGAAACGTAATATTTTTATATAGGAAATCAAATTCTCTTTCATATAAACATCGTACTCTCCTCTAAACGATAATGAAATCACGTATACACACATTTAAGTGGAAAGATTAAAAAGCCATAATATGAAGAGAACAATAACACATTTATGAAAACAATTCGTGATACTAGCCAAGCTACTATAATTGTTTGTTTATTTGTTTAATAAACTACGGTAAAAAAAAAACATGAGGTCTCTCTTCCTAAGAGGAAAATGCGTTCGTAAATGGTTCAGTCTAAAATGAAATTAATTTCATGAGTTTCATGAAGATTTTTCGCGAATAATAGGCAACTCTTGGACTCTGATTTTTATTTAACTATATTTCGTTTAATGATAATATACTAAAGCAACACACGCACGCACAGCTTTCAAATATTCGCAGAAATGCATTGACGATAGATCAAAAGCTGCGGACATGACTTTAGCAGCATAGAAGCAAGCGTGAGAAGAAAGCTAGATTTCAAGAAATGATAGTTTAAAAATAGTGAAGTTATGGTTCTGTTTTACTTCCATTGGTTGATTAAGGCTTTGGGTTGCATATTTTAATATTATTGGCTCAAAGATTTCTAGCAGTGGGTAACTACATGCACTATGAGGGCTGTGTTAAGAATCGTAACACAGAAATTAATCTTAAAATGACACACTAGACATAGCACACTGTTGTTTTTAGAATAGAAAGGGAACATGACCAAATTAAAAAGGAGACTTAAAATGTTATTGCAAATTAAAGTTACAATTTTATCTTGCATGTTCTTTAGCTTACATGTATACTACACTGGTTTCCAAAAATTAAGGAAAAACCTCAAAAATAGGAATAGCTCGTTCAAAAATAAACCAATAAGAATAAAATTTGAATAGGTTGTTAAATAAGAATTACTTAGTAAAACTGTATTACGCAAATTAGTGACGCTGCAATCGAAATATGTTATCTGCGAGGAGCATAAAATTGCATGTTTCAGAGCAAGCCTGCTAATTTCGCTGTGATACTGAGATAAGAAATCCAGGATAGCCAATTTGTAACAATGACATCCACACATCATTTGCCCGAAGAACTGCGATGGAGAGCTATTGGGAGACTAGATACGAATTCAGGCAAAAGTGGCCAGATGGCTAAATGTGAGCTCATCTGAGGTTCATAGACTTTGGCAACACTTTCTAACCACAGATTCGGCATCCAGGAGGTTCAGCCAAGGATGGCCAACCGCTATGACGAGCGCTGATGACCGACATCTGTACTTATGCGCACGAAGGAATAGAAACACAACTCCGACTCAACTCATACCCTTCCTTGCTGCAGCCACTGGAAGGTTGGTGTCAACATCAGCCGTTCGTAGGAGGCTTCACGAAGAAGGTCTGTACGCGAGGCAACCAGCTATTTGTGTGCCATTCAGGTTACGTCATAAAAGGGAACGTTTGAGGTGGGCACGCCGACATGCCCACTGGACAACTAGTCAATGGAGGGCTATTCTCTTTTCAGATGCCCACAAAGCGATAGTAGGCCTTATTTGATTTGGAGAAAACCTGGATCTATCAAACATCCGGGAAAGAGATGCATACGGAGGAGGCAGCGTCTGTGTTTAGACTGGTATCTCTTTGGTTGGACGCACAGACCTCCATGCCTTTCGGCGTGGAACCGTGAATGCTCAGAGAACTATAGAGATTGCTTATGTGCGCTCTTATGTTGGGGCAACAGATAATGCTTTCCTGCTACAGGATGATAAACATTGACTGCACAGAGCTCGCATCGTTCATGATTATCTTCAAAAGCAAACAATTCAGCGTAACGAGTGGCTAGCTCGATGATCAGACCTGAATCATATCGAACATGTTTGAGATGCTTTAGGAAGACGTATAGGAAGACTTCACCTTTATGCAATTGCCGTGATTTCGCATAAGACGTTGCAGATTTAGTTCTTCTTTTTATTTAGCCTGTAAAGCAAATGAGAATATGACTTGAGTAGAGATGTCTCGGCATAACTATATGCGCAACACTGCATGCGCCTATATGAAATTTGCTTTCTTCGTCTTAGAAACTTGTAAGGTACATTTTAATTTTATAATGGTTATTTTCAATTTTGAAAACCCTTTCCTATTGTTCCTCGTTTCAGCTTACAACTCTCTACCAGAATGAATTTTTAGAATCGAGTTAAATGCAAATGAGAAAGAGGATAATATTTAAGTCAAGTTCAACTGACTTCGCCAGAGAGAATTAGGATTCCTGAACAGCACGAGTTTGCTTTTGGGCTGCGTCTCTCTAAGCTGTTATTACGTTTGGCCGTATTATGTGCCTTTTTATAGTTCGCTGGCTAATTTAATATCACAAGCCAACTAGTCTTAGAACTGTGTTAGCTTTTCACAAACGTCTTTAGTTAGTACTTATTTCTTGCAATTTGAGTTTAAGCTTAAGTGGAGGCTTTGCTGTACGCCTTGAGAGAGGGGCCGACTGTTAATCTTTATTTGGAGTATCTAAAGGGTAATTATCCCTTCTTGAGTTTACGTTTCTGTTCTTGGACTTAAGCGATTATTCGGTTAGCAATTCCCTAGGTTCCTCGACATTACATTTAACAAGATAAAATTGAAGAACTCTATAAACTAATCTGCCTGAAACGATTATACCGGTGAAATTTTATGAAGGTTTCTGTCTTTTCAAATGGCAGCCGGGATCTTTATGAAGCAGTCCTTCTCAGACGAACGATTAGCATATTTATCACACACATTATATTTACGTGGTAGTTCTTAAACTTCTAAATACTGAACCATTTTATAATTCCTACTATTAGCTTCCACTCTCCCTATATCTTGTTCAAATTTTCAATCGTTAATAAAATACTTTTTATTCATCCACTCAAGCTCAAATACGATTTTTTAAACTTGTAGTGGATGACACTTGATGTTAATACAATTTTTTCACAAATTTTTAATTTTTAATTTTTTTTTGTATTTAAAAAATTTTCTTTGTTGACCTAAGTAGGAATTGAATTAAAAAATCTATTTAATTAATTATTCATTAATTAATTTTTAGTCTTTAATAAAGTACTTTTATTCATCCATTCAAGTTCAAATACATTTTTTTAAACTTGTCGTGGATAATACTTGATGTTAATGCAGTTTTTTCACATATGAAATTTTAAAAAATTTTTAATTTAAACAATTTTTTTTTTGTATTTAAAACATTTTTTTTTTTTTTTTCATTTTAAAAATTTTTCTTTGTTTACCTATCACCTAATTGACTTTAATTTTTTTTATATTACTTGTTTATAAGACAGGTCAAATAGATTTTAAAATTTCTCTCAGCAATGGTTACCAAATTCAGACAAATCGGGATTATTTGTATTCGTATCAGTTTTGCGAATCAAAATCTCAGAACTTACTCATTAGTAAAGGAAGAAAGAATAGCGAAATAAATGTAAAAAAAAAAAAAAAAAAAAAGTCGTTATTTTGTTTAATTTATTATTCAGATGCTTTGTTAATAGAAACTTGGGATTTGAATTCTAGATTCTGATTATTCGAAAATGAAAATCTTATACATATAAATTATTTTTTTTTCAGTGAAATAACATACTGAATAAGTTAAATCTCTTACAAATAATCAATGCATTTACATTAGTTGGCCTTTATTCAGTCACTAATGGAAATTTACAGATTCTTATTGCATTTAAAGTGAGTTACGAATTTTCTTATAAGACATCCATTTCCATTTACTGAGTCAATAAATAATGTTATTCATTCAAAAGTGAAGTAGAAAAATTAATTAGCACTCACCTTAATAACGTGATGCTTTTTATTTAGAGGCGGTGCTTTGACAATCTTGCACCAATAGGTTGTATCAACGTCATCTGGTACTGTTATCTGAAATGCAAATATTTAAGAGGAAATATAAACAGGCAAAGTACAATAACATTCATATTTTAAAGGCAACATTTATTATGGTATCGGAATATTCAACGAAACGAACATGACGTGCAAATAATATAATTATTTATTTTGTTGCGTTGTCTATTGAAAAAGGAATAATTCAAAACTTTAAAATTAGCAGTTCCCTTTTTTATATGAAAATGAATTAAATATGCTGTCAAAATATATTAATATTGGGGTATAAATGAACTATTATGTGTAAATAATCTAAACAACAACCAACTTGAAGAAGTCTTATTATAGTAATTTTAATTAATCTTATTATTAAAATTTTAGTTTTCTTTGCAGTAGACATTCATGGAAATTTTCACTGCTTAAGAAGAGCCTGGCCGATTATTTCTATTTTATAGCAGCAACAGGGCTTTTTGAAGCCATGATCATATACAAGTACGTTATTATTTACTCCCATTTTATATTGCCTTACTGCATTATGATTAAAACTTGTTTCACTTGATATTTCTGTCTTAAGAAAGTAAAAGAAACGAGAACATTTCTTGAAAGTTTTCTATTTACAGTTTTGACCTCATTTACAGTTTTCCTCATAACATTCAATGCTTATTGAATTAATACAGGCCACTTCAAAGACTTACATTAGGCGTACGAATATGCCATAACTTTACATCATTTGGAAGCTGATACTTCTCCGACCCTGGTTGCAAAAGAACCAAACTCTTTGACCCTCTCTTGTCTTTTCCATGGTAAGAGAACATTTCATCAGACAATGGATCTTCGTCGTGATATGCATAAATAACACGAGCTGTATCATTCTGCAAGAGAAGAATGTTATCATGAAAAGGAATAATTGGAAAAGTACATGTTAAAGATGAATGATTGTAAACTAGTAAAAATAAAGAAAAGCTTAAAAGTATTCATCAATAATTAATATTGACAACTTATATAACAGAGAAAAAAACTGTAATAAAGCTATTTTGATAAAAAAATGATAAAGTTATATTTTATATCTGTGCTTTAAATTAATATCAGCTTTTCAAATTAACTCACATTTTTAGAAACGTCTTTTTGAGACAGCGCAAGTTTCAGTTATGAGGAGATGAGAGAACCAAATCCTTAACTAATAAGAAATGTAAATATACATCCTATAGTTGAGAGTCACACACAAAATTTCAGATCAGATGGGTCAGCTAGTTCATAAATCCGCCACACAGTCTCTTTTTTTCTCTGTTTTCTTCGATTAAATCGTAACATCTGATTTTTCAACGGAAATTTAATTTAATTTAGGCAAAAAATCAATCTTAGATTGGCGTAGATATTAAATAACACTATAGATTTCAAGAGCGATCTTATATAGCTCCCTTTTTTGCCTAGATTTCAGTTATCTATTGGTGTGTTTCTCTTTCTGTTAGACTGAAATCAAATTGTTTATTTTTGTCAAGTCTGATTTGGGATTAATTTAAACAAGCTCACAAAGAATCATGCAAAATAAATGCATTCTCAGTGGTAATAAAAAAGCACTTGCAAAAAACATTCTTAAAATCCAATGTAAAATGCTCTGACTTCACAAACTAGATTACACAGATATGTGTACTTAGTTACAAGAGCCTAGTTTAAGACAGCAAATTTTCTTTTATGTTTTAAGCCGAAAGTGTTAAAATATTTTATGAAATACATTTCACTTAATACGTTTATTTATTTTTGAAGGAATCTAATTTCATCTCAATATCCCAGTTGCAGAAATAAAAGCAATTTATGTCTCAGCTCATTTTGCCTTTTTCATTCATCGATTTCTTTTCAGAATCACAGGAGTTGTTGCAGCTATTTTAAGTTCTTTTATCATTTTATTTCTTGTCTTTGTTAAAGCTGACAACTTCGAAAATGCTTCGCCTAACAAGTCTGACGTCTGTTCCTTTTCGGACCAAAGATCTGAATGATATCGTTCCTTTGCTTATTAATTGCATCAACACAGTTGCATGAAAATAAATTACGATGTCACAACCTATAATTATCAATAATAACAATCACTCACGACTTAAGTTTGCATGAATCGTGATTGGTTAATGCTATACCTAAATTTTGTTTCTGTTACAGACGTTAGAAAATCGTGATTTGCTGATGGACTTACGATAGAATTAAATAATCTGACAAAAATGTTACTTAACATCTATTAAAGATTAGGATCTCATCACTGCAATGCACGAGGCTTTGAAGACTGATGACTCTGAAGGATGAAATGACGACATTATAGAATAACGTATAGACACTGGTAACTTTTAACAGACATCAATTAAAGAAAATTAGGCAGCAATTTTCTGGGACATGAAAGAAAGGAATTAGGTTTCTCAGAAGAATCATAGTGATCTTTCAGGCAATTTGATTAATCGAGGAAAATGTTTTAATTTATGATCCTATAAATTTTACTATTATCTTGTACTTGGTATAGTGTTCCCTGAAGGACAAGATGCATCACCTATTAGATGTACATATATATATATATAATGAATAGATAGATATTGTTGATAGATATAGATATATATAGAATAGATAGATATTGTTGCGTTTTTCTCTTCTGACACCAGTTGTTACGTTATTTTCTTCCTTCACGTTCGTACGGGGTTTTTGTGGATTTGGAGTGAATAACGACACTTGATGAAGTATCGAAACACACTTTATTTAGCCAATATTGATGAGGACAGCTCCAAAACACGTTTTACAGTCGTCGATGAACTACTATAAACACGCTGACACGATCAGCGACACAGCCTTCAGGTTATCAGGCTATTACGGTGGAGACAGCTTCACTGCAAAGCGCCAGAATACAGCTCCCGACTCTTCTCGGGCGTTCTCGGAACTCCACGTACTCTGGAGACTCTCCACGCTACAACTCGCGATGCACTCGACGACACACGAGCACAGCTCCCGACTCTTCAGTTCAGTCGTTCCCGGAGCTCAACACGCTCTCTCGACGATGCACAAACCGCGATACACTAACAGATTCCTTCGGTGCACTCGACGACCCACTCGGCAGTCGCTGCCCGGCTGTCAACTCGATCGACTCCGCAGAGATTGACTCGCTAGACGAGATACACACTAAAGGCTCGTTTCCACTACTGCGTACGAACGCGTTGCGTCAATTGAAGACACGCCTACGGCATTCGTACAAGCGTTTCCACTGCTGCGTATCCGTAAAATATTTTCATTTTCCGCCGCTAGGTGTCACTGTAATATTTTGGCAGTTCGCGAGTTACGACGCTGAACATCTGAATTTTTCCCCGCTTAAGCGAGTATTGTTTGTTTTGGATTTGATATAGATCCTGACGTAAAACGCAGAAAAGTTTTGTTTACTAAATTCCATGTTATTGGAAATTTTTATTTCTGCTTATGAACTGCGAAAGTAAAGTACGCTAGCAATTTTTAGATAAGTAAGGTTATAATGCATATTATGAACATCACTAATTCCATAGAAGCTGAAGTAAATTAAAAATTTTTTTTTTGTTTCTAGAAGCCTTAAATATTATGAAATAATATATATATTATTAAAACTAAAATGTACTGTTAGTGAAAAAGTAAACAAATAAATAAATAAAATAAAAAAGTTAAAGGAATTAAAAAATAGTTGGTACTTTAAAAGTACAGAGCAACTGTAAGAAAGGTTCACAATATTTACAAAAATTTGCTATGCTTGTATACCGCTGACTTCAGGGTCATAGCTGGATAATTTATTAGAAATCTCGTTTGTTTTAAAATGCACTATGGGCAGTTATATTTTATGCATAATCCATAAAATATTATTTTAATTTTTTAATTTAACATTTTAAACATTTTTAATTCATATCTCTTTTTATACAAGAAGTTATAAAAATAAGATTTTTCTCTTTATATATACACACATTAGGTAAAGAAAATGGAAATATTTAATTAATTAATTCCTGCGCTTCTGCTGGAGAGGACTGAATTTAAAAGCAATTATTATAGTAATTTTTTGTTAAAAAAATGTTTAGGGCATTAATACTGTCTCATGTTAATTGGAATGAAAGTTTAGAGTCGTAAACATCCCAAAGTCTGAGCACATGTATATACATTCACATAAAAGTGAAACGAAAATATATATATATATATCTGCAGGGTTTCAAAATAAATTAAATTTAAATAATTCTCTTGCGCCATTGCTGCTGCAAGGAATGAAATTTGAATTTAACAAACATTTTCTATTCGTAAAAGCAAATTAAAAGTTAATTAAATTTAAATGAAATTTAATGCAAACAAATAAATGATTAATTAAACTAATATACAATTTTAAATTCTGAGAGCATATGTAAATCAAGTGCAAGTATCAAAATCCATGAATAAATATATAATTCCAAAAATTTATTTATCCTATTATTCACTTATGCATTTTTATAAGTTTTTTAGGATTAAATCTATCCTATTATTCATTTATGCATTTTTATAAATTTTTTAGGATTAATAAGCTATCCTATTATTCACTTATGCATTTTTATAATTTTTTAGGATTAATAATCTATCCTATTATTCACTATGCATTTTTATAATTTTTATATTTTATTTTTTTTTTTTTTATAATTTTTTAGGATTAATAATCTATCCATTATTCACTTATGCATTTTTATTTTATTTTTTTTAGGATTAATAATCTATCCCATTATTCACTTATGCATTTTAATAAATTTTTGGAATTATATATTTATTCATGGATTTTGATACTTGCACTTGATTTACATATGCTCTCAGAATTTAAATGATATTGTAGATTAGTTCGCAGCAATAATTAATCATTTATTTGTTTGCATTAAATTTCATTTAAATTTAATTAACTTTAAATTTGCTTTTTACGAATAGAGAATGTTTGTTAAATTCAAATATATATGTACAGGGTATGCTTTAAATTAGTATTATATAATTTTCAAACTTTTTTGCGGGAGGAAATTTAAATAAATAAGAGCATAAATAAAACAATATATAGTGCTTACAAATATATGTTATCCAAAAAGATATATTTATAAAGGGAAATACAAAATTAACATACTCTTCAATGAACTGGAGTATTTAAAAGGCTATAAAATTTAATTTATAATTAACGTTGTTAGTTTTTACCTGTTTCAAAAGAAAAAAATAGCAAATCTTTTAATCATATCTAATTTGCTATAGCAGTTTGATATAGTCAGACATTCATTTTTATTAAAGCTAAATGAGTATGCAGAACTAAAAAATGATTATCAGAACAAATTTTGCTATTTCATGGACTTGGAATTATAATTTTTGCTGCTGATTTTCTTGAACTGAATTTCTTGAACGAACAAGTACTGTAGTTGCAGTTATCTTGTTTTTCTTATCTTTTTTTAACTAAATTCAGCTGATTGCTATCTTTTTCAGCACGCAGATTTCTCGCTATAATGTTAATTCAGAAATAAGTATTTTTTAGCAAAGCGAGCGTTCATCGCTAGCCGCCATAATTTTTAGTGACTGACACTGATTGCTCTTTTTACCACGTGACCCTAACGCATCCGCAGACATACGGATAGAAGTTGAACATTGTTGAACTCCATCCGTATGTCATCCGTCACCGACCGGATTGCAGATGTCAATCAAAGTGAATTCGCTCGCTGATTGGAGAAACGCATACGCACCGCAACGCATACGCAGCAGTGGAAACGGGCCTTAATTCGTAACTAACTCTCCGCGTATCAGCAGGGTTTATATAGCTTTTGACTGGTGTTCGAGAACATTCTGGGCTAAACAGGTAAGAATTCGTTTCAGAAGGCTCTCCAACCGTCCATGGTATATCGCCAATTTTGTCGCCAAATGGGCGATTTCTCGCCACATGTGGCAGCCCTGCCTTCCCTTGCCATTTTATAACAGTCCTAAAACTGCTTTGCGGGGAAGCTATCTTACCGCGCCTTTACATTTCGTAACAATATAGATCAGAAAGCGTGTATTGTACCAAGTTAACAGCTCATGTATATATGTTTTCAATTTGATTCATGTATAATTTATAAGAGTATATTAATTTTTTAAAAACCGTATTTTCCCAATATTCATCTGAATGCTTACTTAGGACATTTGCATAATACTACCAATGGTAGCTCGAAGTGACATGCGGTAATAGTAAAATGTTGACATGCGGTAATAGTAAAATGTTGCATTTCAGAGTTTCTTCATGCAAAACACCCGACACATGTTTCGGTCTTAGTTGTACCCATCACAGCTATATCCTTTATCACCCTGCAAAAATAATTTTTTTGAAGTAGGTTGTTTTTCTGTACTTGCCAAATATGAACATGTTTACATTTTTCTTCGCACAGCGAAGTTGGTATGACCCTTTTACATGGTATCTTTTCTTACATTACTTATAAGCTTAATTTTCGCTGTGAAAAGGAGTTTAGATAAGACAATATGTTTTATTAACATTACCCTTTTTGCTACTTCTTCACTTACTAATATGTTGAAATAATTATAATACCATTACACACCGAACAAATTGTTGTTGTTTGTTTGACTTCTAAATTATGTTGAAATAATGTTGAATGATGTAATTTTAAATGCTCTGTTTTAATTATCAATCCTGGTAGCTGGCCGCTTACGTGATTCCATGCACCGTACACTTGCCTAAATCCGCTTTATTCATATATTTTAACCATCACCGTTCATCGAAAATAATTGCTACAGAGTTTTAATTTACTTCATTAGGTCAAAAAGCACAGAATCGAGGAGCGAAACATTTATATATGAAAAGATATATATTAGACATCGCATCTTCTGGCAAAATCCTTATAACTTTGCTTGGAAATATTCGCAACAAGATAATAGTTAACATTCGATATTAAAAATGACTAAAACATGTTAAAATTATCAGAAAAATTTTCACTTAATTTGATTCATTTATAAAATAATTATTTTATCTCGGGCATTCAAAGTCGAATTATAATGCAATTATAAGTATTGTTTTATTGTTCTGCATGTATTTAAGGTTTGAAGAAGTAACGCCTTTTTGGATGGAGAAAGTTTTGGAAGTTGTTTAAGGTAGATAACTTTTTAAATAAAAAAGGACAAATTATGCTTTCATAAAGCCGATGCTCTGCATTTTCTTGTTAAAATGAGTATATGGTTTTGTCGCAGTATAATTGCAAAGTATGAAAATAAATGTTAGGATTCGGTATATTTCCAACAACGTAAATGTTACCATCTGACGCAAAATTGTTGGCTTAAAAATTGATAGAGAATGTTGAATATCAAGTATTAAATTAATGACCTCCCTGAAATAGGTCGCGAATATTTCCAAGCAAAGTTATAAGGATTTTGCCAGAAGATGCGATGTCTAATATATATCTTTTCATATATAAATGTTTCGCTCCTCGATTCTGTGCTTTTTGACCTAATGAAGTAAATTAAAACTCTGTAGCAATTATTTTCGATGAACGGTGATGGTTAAAATATATGAATAAAGCGGATTTAGGCAAGTGTACGGTGCATGGAATCACGTAAGCGGCCAGCTACCAGGATTGATAATTAAAACAGAGCATTTAAAATTACATCATTCAACATTATTTCAACATAATTTAGAAGTCAAACAAACAACAACAATTTGTTCGGTGTGTAATGGTATTATAATTATTTCAACATATTAGTAAGTGAAGAAGTAGCAAAAAGGGTAATGTTAATAAAACATATTGTCTTATCTAAACTCCTTTTCACAGCGAAAATTAAGCTTATAAGTAATGTAAGAAAATACCATGTAAAAGGGTCATACCAACTTCGCTGTGCGAAGAAAAATGTAAAAATCTTCATATTGGCAAGTACAGAAAAAACAACATACTTCAAAAAAAATTATTTTTGCAGGGTGATAAAGGATATGCTGTGATGGGTACAACAGACCGAAAAACATGTGTCGGGTGTTTTGCATGCAAACTAAATGCAAACAAAAACATCCAAAAGGAACGATTCCAGGATGGAACATTCATATCTACTGTGAGTCGTTAACATAACACATTCTCGACCGGTTAAAATCAATGCAGTGAAACCTTCCTTTAACGATTCTTGCCCAGAACTGTGTTTTAGAACTTTAAATGCGAGAAATATTAACAGACGAAAAATATTTTTTTCAAAGAGAAACATTCAAGAACACAAAAAAAGAACTTGAAGGCTATTCCACTATTTACTTTTTGCAGGGACTGAGAAACTGGAAGAGTTAACTTACGTGAATGAAAAAAAATTTTCTTGGTATGATTTATTATTATAATTAATTTTACACAAATAGTGCTCAATAACATTTTTGACTACATTATATATTTATTCAGTTTGTAACATATTTTAATTCAGGTACAGAGAGAACTCAGTTAATTATGAGCTGATTTAATTAATTATAACTGTATTTTCAATATCGCCTTAGTGAATTGTATTCACATGCATCTTAATCAGCTGTACAATCTACCGAGTTCACACTATTGATATAGAGAGTGTTAAATGCAACACAGGCAGCAGACACATTACAAATTGTTTGAGTTCCTAGAACACAGAATAATCTTATGTTATTGGATGAGTTATGGACATATTCATCAGGTAATGAAAAGAATGGCAAAGAATTTTTCCTGTGTGTAGAATAATTTACTACTTACACATTCGTGTATATCAAATAGGGTAGTATTGATTTGGCTGATATTCCAGTTTCATTTTTAGTAGTGATTGAACATTCTCGAAGTGAAAAAATTTAGAAATTGTATTGTACGGTAAGACTTTCTGCACTTTACTTTGGGTTGTGACATACATTTCACGGAATTTGAGGGGGGGGGCTGCAACTGGCGCTTCTTTTATCTTGCTTTTTAGGCGGAAATTATAATTGAATTACTACCAGTTTCTGAAGGGAAACATATTTATTCCAATTCTTTTCCGATACAGAGAAACATGTAACAAATAAGCAATCAGTTTCTTATATATTTATTTTCAGACAAATATTTCTGATAACATAACGGATAATCATTATGTCATTTTTTAAAATAGCAACTGAAGACCTAGAATCTAGATTTTGACACGATGAATGTCTTAATAGAAAAGAACTTGATTTTAGACTCGATAATTTGATAAAAAAAAATATCAGTTCTTATCAGTCATTTTGAAAATTCCCTCCCTATCATGCAGTAAACGTGATTTATGATACTTGATGTCATTAAGCAGCGTATGGTCAAAGGCACACTGTACGGAATTACCATTCTAACTAATCTGAATTGTAAGAATAGAAATTACCGCACTAGCATCTTGTGAGTTGCAAGGATGAGAGAACCTACTTTTTAAGGGACCCCCTAACAATTAAAAAATATTAAATATACTGTATGCTTTAAAGTCAAGGATCCCCCAAAGCTCAGATGAGGTGAGTTCGCCATTTCAATAAATCTGCTCCTGCATACGAATTTGCTTGAATGTAGTATAATTTCACAAGATACTTCATTAAAATATGAACATGGAATATAATAAGGGTATTTAATTACCGTAACAGGCAGATCTTGTTGATCGCAAGTGTCGAACTTTCTGCTGAACTGAAGTATAGTATGCGTCCTGTTCTCGTAGCCATTCAATAATTCCCAGTCTTGTTGATCATCTAGTATAGGGAGTCCATTTTTGTGAGCATAACGATCCTAAATGGAAACAAAAAAAAATATATATATGTATATAAAGTCAACGGAACATTTAGAAATGGAGTAAACTGTTATACCACTGAAGATCATTTTAATCTTTAATGGTACAGCATTCTATACACATGAATAATCCTTTAACATATAAAAGAATGACCACCAGAAAAATTTCAAATAATGTAACTATACATTTACGATTTTTAACTACAAATATCCCTGTTAAATATATATGTATATAAGTCCCCTTTTATCATATTATTGACGCTACATTTCTTGCTTTAAATTTAAAACAAGAGGCTGTCATGTGAACACAATATAAGTTTCGTACACAATATGGTGTCATTAGTTTTTTCGATACAGGAATCATGATAAATGCACAGGGCCCTCACCAGGATTCGAACTCCAGACCACCTGATTGCTAACCGGAAGTGCTTCCAGTTACTACACGGAGGAAGAAAATACCTTAGAATAGTGTCATCAAAAAGTGAAAGCATCTAAACAAAGTAATTTCATCGTTGGCCTATGAGTGCTAAGAGCAGAAAATATCAAATGTTTGAAAACTCATGTCTTGTTGGTTATTATGTGGTTTACACGCGCTAAAAGGCATTTTCTGACTCGAATTCTATTACAGATCATTTTTGCTTTAACACAGATTTACTAATGTGGTGAAAAGGAAACTGGACACTGAAACCAGCATTGTGAAAAGTTGATTTTCCTTTCTTATGAAAAGCAACACAAATTTAATTTAAGAGCACAGGCGCTGAATTTAAGCTTGAAAAGTGCCTCATAAATGTAATGAAAATAATTTCCATTGCATATAAGTTCGGTAGCTTAATGAACTTCTTATTTAAAATAAAAAAAAAATTATTGCAAGTTCGAGAATTAGCTTGAAATCTGATTTAACATGTCAATTTATATATATTATGTGTCTCGGTATTCAACAAGCTATAGTTATTCACTTGAAAGATATTTTATTTAATATTTTAAAATTATATTTCATCACTAAAACGCTGCATTGCTTGAGGACTTTTTTGAATAGCAAATCGCTTAAAAAGGGAAAGAATTTTTCTAACGTCAGTGAAAAATGAGATCTTTTACTCCTAATAATTCTGAATATTCATTCTAAAGAAGCAAATATGAAATATGAGATCAGTATAAAATTGAGTTGAAAATGCATAGGAATTGTAACCATCTCCTAGTTTTAAGATGTAACCTCAACAGGCGTTATAAAAATAAAAAAAATGATTCAATATTTTTGATTCTATATTTACAGTTATACAAATTTATTACTGCCGATTATTAACTAATTAGTTAAACTATTAATGTGACACGGATAGAATGCTTTACAGGCTTAAACTTCTAAGGAAAATTCTCTTTTGTTGCCGGGCTGTTGTGGTAGAAGTAGTTAAAATGTGGAAGACCGTGGTTTGAATCTCGGCGAAAGTAAAGTTGATTCTTCTTATTCTCGGCTCCGAAAAACCAATTAACTTCCGCAGCCGTGCACGAATAAAGAAGTGTGTTGAACGATACCGTCTAGATTTAGCCGACTGGATTTTATGCCTTTTCCTAGTCGCCTTTTACATGGGGAAGAATGCGAAACGGTATCATCCAACTGCACGGAAAAAGGGGGAAAATGTGGCAACTGCACGAGCAATTTTATGAACCCCATAAAGTTAACTACACGATTTTTTTTCTCCTTCCTAAGATACTATAAGATCCTCCCAAATGCTGAGGAAGATGTCTAACAAAGATCCTCCTTTTCAAAACGTTAAGGAATTCTAAACTCTACTTTCCAAAGCCTAATTGTGGATTTTGAAGCGAAACAGCATAAAAGAAAAAAACTTCTAATTCTCAATGCTTTCGTATATCAAATACTACTCACCGTAAATATTGTTTAATATGGATACATTTAGAGATTATTAAGCGATTTTTGCATGAGGAAATTCAATATTTAATTTTAAGAAATCAGACTTACTTATTTTATATTTCTATTACTGAAATTTTGTTATATGTAGCCTTTTTTCCGAATTATCTGATTTTATTATTATTTATTATTAGACAACATTTTTCTTTCCTTACGCATTAATACATTATTAACCATTACTGTTTGATAGATTCAGAATATATTTACGATGTATTTGTGACTTTTAGCATGCCTTTGTCTGATGGTATTCTATTCAAACCTCGAAATGCATATTGTTTAGTTGGTCTAAATGTTGCATAAATTTCTTATTTTAATAAAAAGTATCTAGTAAGTAATAATAGTAGTAAGTAGTAATTTATAAATAAACAAAAATCAGTGAAACTATGAAAGATTGAATAATAACTAGAGCTCACTGTTTTTTAGATACAAGTCATATAGTCCTTTTTTTTCGATTACCACATATTTCAGAAAAGATAACACTGTTGAGAATAATTGATAAAAAAGAAATAAATAAAATAAAACCTATAAAATGCATTCTTTTAATATTGAAATTTTATTTCATATGTCTAAACATACAACTCGTTTCTATTTCAATTAAAACAAAACATTGAAACTAAAATTATAAACATATGAATCCAATAACAAAAAGGTAAAATTTATTTGACTTGAATGAATAAGCCATCCGGAAGGATGATTGGAGTTCCGGATATCTGCAATAGATCTGATGTTCTACGGCTCTATTATATAGATCGTATATAATATTAGTCACACTCTCAAACAAGCAAAGAATGTATATATAGTTAACAGGAAAATTTTATAGTGCTTTATAATACGATTAATTGTAAAAATGCATGCTTTATACTGACACAATTAGAAAAAATTAATTGTCATAGAAAATAAAGTTCCTTTCGCTCTTCCAAATTTCCTTTTAAAATCATTATAAATGTCGTAAAATTCTAATTGCGGTTTTTATTACTTATGAAGTTTTATGGAAATTTTATATACACTTCAACACAATGTAGCAAATTTACTTTCATTATCATTAGTATATGTCTGATTTTCGATCACTTCTGGCATAAGAATTCAGCTTTTTCCTTGCTCATCTTAGCACTGTTTAATAGATTTTTTTCTTTTGTCTATCCATTTGCAGCTTTTTGTTACCCTTCCTGTCTTTTTAAATGGTTTGGTATTCTAAAACCCCTTTAAATATCGAGTGAGAGATTATCAAGTGTAATATCCTATTCCTGGTGTTAAACAATTATTACGCATACAAAAGGAAATGTTTACTTTGCATAAATTGGTTTTTCTCAAGCGTATCTTCAGCTTTTAGTAAAATATTATGAAGCCATAGTCAGAAAGGAGAAATTTATAAGGTCTCATGGATTGTGGAATGAAAAATTTCCGAATTAAGATATTAAGCAAATTAGAGGAATTCAATCCACATTTTGACGATATTTTTTATAAAGTTTATGTTTTGGAAGATTTGCAGATAGACTGCGACGAAATATCAGTTACTAAATTAGTTTCTATGCTTATTGTTTTATTATTAAAGGGATACGTAGAAAGCTCTGAGGTAAAATCGCAAAACGGCGATTAGCAATAAATATAATTTGTAATATTTTTAAAAGATAAATAAAATATATATAACTAAGTTTTTACTACGCATAACAAATATAATATTTCGATGCCAATTATATATGCAGACAAATTACAAGCTAAGAGCTCTTAAAATTAGTCTGCTGAGAGTTATACTATGTGTTAAACAGTATATTGAAAACGTAGGTGATACGGTACTAGTAAACACGCGAAAAAAAGCGCTAAATTGCAGACTTCATATGTTTTATAAATGAATTAAATTTATCTCTGTGACATTATGAAATATTATATCTTAAAAATATTAGTGGAGAAGAAAATGAAATAACAACTGTAATATAAATATAGAGCATTAGAACTACCTGTTATTATTTAAAACACCGGTGAAAACTTTTAATAAATATTTAAACGCTTCTAATATCAAAACATGGAGTCTGTTAGAAAGTTAAGTAACTTTAAAATAAAAATATAAATCTAGATAACATATCTATTATAACAATATTGATGTGATTTTAGAACTGTTTAACAAAGTGAATTTTTAGGTTTAATAAAGTAATTTTTAAAATTAAGTGAGAACTAGTTACATAAAATCGTAAATTTGAAATAAATTAAAACCATTACATTATTTAAGAAGATTTGTTACGAGTAACATTTATCTAAAAAAGAAAAATAATAGATATCAATATCTCTTCTACAATTTAATAACTGATAAGGTTATTACATATATGTATTTCGATTTAGTTATTATCTCTTAATCATTTAATTACTTTCGCAGTATACTTAGTGAAATTAATTAAAGAGGTCTTATTTATGATTCCTTTAAACTTTATAATATGAGTATTAGTATGTTATTTTTAGTTTCGTACATACCAAGTTTCCATTAAATATTTATTTTGTAGACAAAATTTTTATAATATCTGATAGGCGAAAATAGCGATGTGTGGTTTCAAACAAATGCCCCTTTATATAGATAAATGACTTTTTGTAGCAACTATATTCTTAAAAAAGAGAGAAAAGCAAAAATAAATTAGTGCAGTTCGTAGTTTCGTTTTTCTAACTTTAGTTTTGTTGCGTTTTCCTTCGTCTATTAAGGTGAGATCATGAGAAAGCTGGCTATTGTTCCTTAGTCTCAAGCAGTTGGTTCCTTATTAGTCTCAAGTAGTCATTCATTGATAAGGCCTCCTTTAAGTAAATTTCTTACAGTTGGTAGTCACCCATGTAAAGGATCATCATATTCTCTCGTGCATACTGTTATGACGTAAGCAGTTAGAACGTCCAGCTAGTGACTGAAACATCTGTTAAGCTAGCAAAAGAAACAGTATTTGGATCTCGGCGAGAGCACAGTTAGTTTTTCACGTTTCTTTCTTCAACTATCCTAATAGACTATACAAACTGACCTAGGTACGGTGTTCTATAAATACTGTCTAGAAAATTCCAACAGTCTGTGTAGGGAATCGAATATAATTCTTTGGTGCACCAGATTAGT